TATATATAGATATATATGTATAGATATATATATATATATATATATATAGATATATATGTATAGATATATATGTATGATGTGCATGTTAAACATATGTTATGTACATGTTTGTATTTTATCTTTAGCATGTATATGGAGGTTATTACAGTGCATGCATGGTAATAGTTTATTGTTTGCCTAACACATTATTGGCTTAATTTATGTTGGTGATTCAGACAAACATAGTCCTGTAGGCTGTAGAGGTGAATGGTTAGATGTGGGTTGCCAAACCAAACCACTCAGAGAATATATGGAGACATGGTAAACCCTAATTAACAGAAGAGGATGGTTTATAAGATCTAAATGATGTAAATTGTTTTCGGGAAAAAAATTGTATATTTTACCGTACGATGTCTCAATTGTGTATGCATGAGTGTGTATTGTGTGCATGTAAACCGTGAACTCATTGTACTTATAAAGCTATATTAGTATGCATCTTACGCAGTGGCGGATCCGGTAAATTAATGGGGTGGGGGCATGTTGGATGAGACTTGGGGGGAGGGAAGCATTTGGTCATATGGGACTGGAGGGAAACCATGTACGACGAGAGTGAAAATATAAAATTTAAGCTAGTCAACAAAAGCTTTTGGTTTTTGACTGAGGGTCTTTCCCCCGGTGCTTAAAGGCTGGATCCGCCCCTGATCTTAAGAGTTTAGGTACTGATTGTGGATAAAGACAAGACTTGGAATATTAATCTTACGTTCCAATCGTATTTTTATACATTATGTTTATGGTTTATGTAACTTCTATGTATGGTGATTATGTTAAAGACTTTCGTTGTAAGAGTGGTAAAACCTAAACATTTGTATTATGGAGTTTATGCACTACAAAAATATGGTTTGCGGAAAATATGATGTGATATTTTAACGGTGGAAATGAGATTGTAATCATAGTTTACCTCTTAATAGTTTCATTAAGATGCAACATCTGAATTGTTAAGAGGTGAATCTTGTTAATTTGGCAAAACAAAAGTTTGTCTCTTAATGGTTCTAAAACCATCTGAATGATTTTGTATTGTGGGTCTCCCTTGATTATTCGGTGCCCTAATTTCATTGTAAACAATCACCAAACAATTATATTTCGTTTTACACTATATCATGGGAGTCTCTTAATCATTCCGACCACTTAATCATTCTGTACAAAACCATTCAGCAACTACCAAACAACCCCTCATTTATCTATTTAGTTAATCATAATTTAATCTAATTAAATAGTAATTAATTAATTAGTAATGTATCTCTCATTTATTTATTTAGCTAACCATAATTTAATTCAATTAAATCATAATTACTTAAATAGTAATTTTAATAATTACACATATTTAATTGTTTTATTCTCCTTATTCAAATGGCTATTTGCGTGTGATCGATTGAGATCTTGTCAAGTTGGCAATAATTATAAATAGTATGTGTAATTATTAACAAGGAGCAGTATATAGCAACCGATCTCGTGATCCAAATGACAATGATTAACTGATTGAGTCCAATCATTTTACATGATCATTTCGGTGTACGAATATGCCATTTTGTCATCAATCCCCAGATTCAAACACAAGACAAATTTTGAACATATAACAGATCCTGATATCATGTATCGACTATTTGTGCATGCATGCATTTCAACCATTTCTTCCATTATATCCCATCAAGGGGCCTAAATGCACTAATCCTGTCATGTCATGTAGGAGGGACAAATCCTATGTGTCGGTAAAACAAGTCTCTATCACACACCTAATGACTATTCTGCCACTCTATTGTGACGTTATTACAACTAGAATCAAAGTGTTTGACTTAACTATAGTGGACCTCAATATCATCAAAGCTAAAAGATGTTATCATAATCTGATCATATGAGAACCGTTTATGAGACTCATGTGACAACCAATATAGTAGTATTCTCATGCCAAGTCTATCCAGTACACAAGTTCACTAAGGGGCCGTTTACCAAAGTCTCACCTGGGTAAGCGCTTACTAAGTCACATTACCTTACCGGATAAATATAATAAGGATCAAGAATCTTACTCGGTAAGAGCGAGTCAAGGACCAAGAGTCTTACCCGATAAGTGAGAACGACAATTCTTACAGCGGTAAGCGATTACCGGGTAATTTTTGCATACGATGTCGTTTTGGTGGATTAAGATCTTATCCGGTAAGTAAATGATAGTGTTAAATTTTACCGATAAGTGCTTATCGAGCAAGTGTTTGGTAAACAACCCCTAAATTTAAAGATAAGATAAGTCGTTTACCAAACGCTTACCCGGGTAAGCGCTTACCAAGTAACATTACCTCACAACATGAATATGGTAAAAATTAAGAATCTTATCCGGTAAGAGCGATACAATGACCAAGAGTCACACCTTCAGTAAGTGAGGACAACGACTATTACCACGGTAAGCGCTTACTGGGTAAATTGTTGCATACAATGTCGTTTTGGTGGACTAAAATCTTACCCGGTAAGTGAATAATAGTGTTAAATTTTACCGGTAAACACTTACCGGATAAGTGTTTGGTAAACGGCCCCTAAAGAAAATTTTGGAAAATAACATTGTTGAATGGGAAAAGTGCGGCCCCATGCGTTGGTCCATTAAAAGGCAAATTGCATTAAAATGGAACATACCGTCTTACAATTTCTATTGTGAAGAACCAAGGCTCAATTTTGGAAACCGTATCATGTTTTTGATGCAATTAATGGAACATACTATAACTTTGTGAACTAAAAATATGAAGCTTTTTAAAACTAAATATGATTCTTGATTTTTTTTATTAAATCTGCCTGCTTGAGATATTTTACCGTAAACACAAAAACTGAGCTTTTAAAGTAGGTTTCCTAGCAGGGAACCGAAACATTTCGATATTAATTCTCCAAATATATAACTATAAAAAATATAAGCATGCTAAAGGTTATGATACTATGCGAGTTAATTTATTTATATTGGATACGTTACATGCAAGTACTTTAGAAATTATGTTATAAAAATGTTGTTTTGGGCCTTTTTACGAACTATAATACGATGACTATAAGGTAGAAACGTGATGCATGGACATAAAGGAACAATGTTTTTCAATAATATACATTACTAAGAAACATAAATACCGACGTCTGATATAATTTATCAATTTTCAGAGAGATTTGAGTTTGAATACCTGAAAAATTATCCCATGTAACCAATTCATGCTCATATTTCAGATAAACAAAATTTCTCTCGTTTCATATGGAAAAGAAGTTTTACACAGATCTCTTAAATTACAGCTAAAAATACTTATACCATAACATAAAAACCTGTTTTACACGATATACATGAGGGGTAGTGTATCAGATTGGATATGGATAAGACTAAATCGAAATCAAATAAAAAAGAAGATAAATTATTGGAACAACAAATCGAACCAATCTAAACCCATTTACAAACGGTTTAAAGGGTTGTTACTATACGATTACTAGGTTTGGCAAGAGTCACGATTCTCATATACCTTATTGTATAACATTTTCAATCATCAAAATAGATTGTTGTTAAGATCTGTTTATCCGATAAACGATATCAAGGTATGAGCCTTCTCTGTTACTTACTAAGTAAAATTCTCGAAGATAAAATTCTCGATATTTACCATATTCAACTTATAAGATAAACATTTACCAGATAAGGGGTTGTTTGCCGATTGCTGAATGGTTTGGTGCAGAATGATTAAATGGTCAGAATGATTAAGAGGCTCTCATGATATAGTGCAAAATGAAATATAATTGTTTGGTAGTTATGTATAATGAAATTAGGGCTCTTAATGGTTAAGGGAGATGCAAGATATAAAATCATTTAGAGGGTTTTAGAACCATTAAGAGACATATTTTTTTTTTGCCAAACAAGATTCACCTCTTAAAAATTCAGTAATTGTCTCTTGATGAAACTATTAAGAGATAAACAAATAACCCCTAAATATTTGGTAAAGATAATGCATTGGTCCCAAATTGCAGTATAAATAGAATGAAGAATAAGGGTTTTCTTACCAACCCCAAAAAGCATGGGGGTTTGTCTCTCCTCCCACCAGCCACCAACCTCAAAGCCCACAATAACCTCGATTGGGCTACCGCGTTGACGAAAGATTTCACATTGAATCTAACCCTATTCTCCAAAATGGCAAAAAATATCTAAACCCATTTGCAATCACCGAGTATTACTCTCTTTTTCTCTCTCTTCGCCTCAAGATAAGAGGAAGAGCGATCCATCAAAACGACTCTCTTTCTGCACAACCCAAAAAGTTTCTTCTTCCTAAACCTTCTCCCTTTGGGGATATAGGAAAGAGGAGAAGATTCTTTGGTTCTCCAATCTGGGTTTGGAGAACACTTTATCAGATACAATATCAATATCTATGTATGGTTTTAGGTTAGGGATTTGATTGATTGGTTAACCTTTTTTTGGGAGGAGAAAATAAAGACAAAAAAAGATACGATGGAGCAACATAATTCAGTACCGTCAGTAACCACCACCACGACGGCGGAACCTTCTATGGCGGTGGATCCTTTTTTGGTTGAGGCTCTCCAGAATCCTCGTCATCGTCTTACCAGTTAGTTCAATTTTCGATTTTATTCCTCAATTTTGCCCTAGTTTTGATTTTCTAGATACTGATTTATCGATCTGTGCTTTCGTTATGATTGGGGTTTGTTATATTGGGTTTTTTTTTTAAATGAAGTTCGATTCTTCTAGCTATTTGATGGTTAGGGTTAGCGGACTATATTGTCTCATAAGCTGTAGATCTGGTGCAATTGCCGTTGTTAACGAAGTGGGCATACGGTATTTTGAGTTTGTAAGTGCTGGGTTTAATTTTCCAAATGTATACCATTACATTTTGCACTGGATCTTTTTATGTTGGAAAAAATAAATAAAAATCAATGTTCCTTTAGGGGAAATTTTGGTATTTGAGTGAAGTAAAACCCTCAATAATCTAAATGTAATTTACAGATGAATAAATGTAAAGTTGCCCAAATATAAGAGCATCTCCAATAGATCCTCCGAGAAGGAGAAATTGAAGACTAATTGAGGAGTGCTATAGCCATCAAACCACCATCCACATTATCAAATTGTTTCCGACAGTACTGGTTACCATCCGCGACACAGTTCGCACAAACACTTGTGAAGGCATATGTGGAAGTTAGATTCAGTTTAGTTTTCTATTGGTCGACCGATAGAAGATTTTAGCTTCGAAATGCCGTTGTAGATGGAATGTAGGAACTCTTAGTGGGTTGAAGACGTCATCTAAGTAGGATGTATAATTGATGAAGGTTTTAGTAACAAATCTAGTGTTGGAACTAGTTTTTTTGTCCCCTGTGTGTGAGGTAGTGATTTCTTTGTGTCTCTAGAAAAACAGGGTTTTAGTAAACAAATCACTAGGTATTGAATTCCCATATAGTACCAGACTCATGTTATTGTGGGAGAGAGATGTTGGATGATGAAGATAATTGAGTGGCGAATTGTGATGTGGCATTTAGGTTTTTAAGTTTAGAAACTCTTTAGGTGAAACAATGCCCCTATTTACTGGTATGTTATGGCTGGACGCACCATTAACAACTAATCACGTTGGTGTTGGCATTAATGCCACATGATGCTGCTCTCCCACTTGAGTAGTTGGTTCTTTTTTCTTTTACTTTGAAAGTAGTTGCCTTTAGCTTCAGCCACTCAAACTTTTGATGTAATTTTATTTTTCAACATATTAATGGCATTTTCCATGCCTGAACTTTCCCCCGTCTTGTTATCGGATTTGTGAAGTTTTCAGGTTTTATACCATGGCTTTTGTACATGGGTTTATTTCTGTTAACCTAAGGGGGGATGCTTAAATTGGTCATAGACTCATAGGAAAAATACTTACTATATTTTTTCAATAAAAAAGGTCTTAATGCGAACTGCATTGTTATAGATTCAACCCCATTGTATGCCACTCTGTTACAAACCCAGGTCTTGTTTATATTACTATAATGTTCTTTTGCATTTATTATAGAGCTAACTGAATTTGTTTATGATGCCACAATCAAACATATATCCTGGCTAGGTAGTACTACCTAGGTGGTCGTGGGTTGAACTTCACATTTCCATTTACTGATTTGGAAGTTCTTTTTGTGATACCTACTGATTAAATATTCTTTAAGGCGTGCTCAATATTGAACATCCCAAAGTTTCTTCAGTTGGTTACAAGTAGAACTTAGCTTAAGTTGAAAAAATCTGGTAGGATGCTTCAGGTTTGAGTTTCAACTGCTTTCAATCCTTTCTTTGCATTAGTTGGGTATACTTTGATAATGTCACTCAAATAGTCGTTCTGTATACTTTGGAGTTTCTGGGTGATGGGGGTTTCTTTGACATCATAGTTCTTTGACTACTATCTTATTTAGTATCTTACTCAACATTTGCATGTTCTATAATCATGGAATGTAACTCCATTTTATGCGGCACTTGTCTAAATCCTATCATTTCTTCCGAGGTTTATTAATTTCATTTCACTAAGTAGATGCTGTCGAAGTGCATTAGCTTTCATGTTTTTAATCCCCAAACATGGTTTATCCCAATTTAGTAAAATAGTTACCTCCTGAGCCTATATGTTTATTTGATGTTTCAAATACCCCCTTAAGCAGATGATGAAAAAGAGCGTGCCATAGTTTCAACGGCTACATCCTAATAGGAATTATCTTCAGATTTAACAGTTGAATTCTAAACAATCTGAAGTATGGACTAATACCTTAAATTCTTAGAGGACTATTGAACTTGATAATCAGAGAAGCTACAATGCCTTTGATCACTAACTAGTTATTATATGTGTCATTTTATCATGATGCAAATTCTTAATATTATTGGTAAATAGCTTAATTGTTTTGAACGTATGACATTTTGGGGCTTATAATAGATTATTAAACACATCGCATACAAGTATTATACACGCTTGATATCTTGTCATCCCTCTTCCAAAGTTAAATTATATAAAAAAGAAGCAATTGAGCTGTGATGAGGATCCAAGCACTTGAAGGCTCATGGTCAGCTAGGCATAGGATTCCTCCCTAGGAAATTGCATTACTTTGGTTAAAATATCTTGTTAACTCAAATACATCTAGACAGCGACAAATAGAAGTTAAAGAGTTGGTCATCTTTTTCTAAATCATATTTGAGTAATTGGTGATGGGACATAAAAAAAATCTTACTCTGATTAAATACTATGTTTGATCGTTTTATCATATTAAAATTTAAAACACTAATTTGAAGAAGATTTTTCTGGTGGATTTAAGGAAACTGCATTACTTTCGCAAATATGAATTTAATTGGTCAATAGGTTTTACTCATGATATTTCAAAGCAGAAATCTTTTAGTTAATATAAGTCATCTCAAAATGGAAATTACTATGGACCAAGGGAATGCAAGTTTTGCATTAGTTAATCTAAATATGAAACAACATCATAGATTACAATCTCAAATATTCAACTTATAACGTGTTCTAATATCCAAATTTGATTTTATTTATTTCAGTTCTTCGAATGGAGCTTGATATTCAGAAGTTCATCCAGAACTTTGAACAGCTTCAGTTCGAGTTTCAACATTTTCCTACTTCCTATCTTCGTCTTGCGGCCCACCGTGTTGCACAACACTATGGTCTTCAGACCATGGTTCTTGATAACTTTTCGGATGGTCAGGGGACTAGGATTTTGGTGAGGAAAGTAGCTGAAAGTAAATACCCTGCTGTCTGTCTATCCGATGTACCAGCCAAACTGTCAGAAAATGAGAAACATGAGCATGTTAAGATCGTTCTAAAACCTAGGCCAAAATCATCTTCAGATGGAACAAATGAACAGGGAACAAAATCTAATTCGATCCGCTCAGTTGAGGAAAGAAAGGAGGAGTATGATAAGGCACGAGCTCGTATATTCAGCTCTCCTAGTAGTCCTCAGTCAGATGGTACACCATTAAGGACCTCATCAGATGGAAAGAACTTGTGTTTCAGCGGAGATGAATATGAAGGTTTCAGAAACTCTACCATTGACTTGGAGAGAAATTTCAGCAGAGATGGAAATACTTCTCGTGTAGCCATTCTTAGGGACAGGGAGAAGGATCTGACTGATCCAGATTATGACCGCAGTTATGAAAGGTATGTATGTATCCTGCGTATATGCATTTTTGTCCCATCAAAATAGGTGTGGAACAAACCAAAATTACTAAACTACCCATGTCATGTTAAATTAAAACACTCGACTTTCCACAATTCTTTCACTCTTGCGTCCGCATACCAAATGCAATAGCATCGATAATCAAGTGAAGCACATCACACAAGACTGCATGGGAAGTTTATCTAAATTCAAAATTTAATACTCTTTTAGGGAAGGAAGGATTATAAGATCTTTTAAGCAAACAAAAGTGTGCAGAAGGTTTATCTTGAGTAATTATATAACTTTTTTATTGGTTATAAGTATATCATTACTAACGCAGGTACGTGAGGAACCTTCCGGTGAGTCAAGGGTTTAACTTGTTGCCTTTGAGTTTGCCTAAGTTCCAACCTCCATGTGTCCAGTATGATCCTTTGGTACCTCATCTGGGACAAGTACCAGCCACTCAAGCATCTCTTGGCTACCGGAACTCGACCATGAATCCATATCCTGTTGTTGGATTGAATCACATATCGAGGGATGCTGTCTATATGCAATGGCCGTCTCATTCCATGATGTATGCACACTCATATGATCAGTTTAGACATGCTGTTTTCCAGGTACCCTACATTTAACCATTCACACTTGTATATCACTCCCATAATTATTTCCGACAAAAAAAACATAGTGTAGCATATGCACAAGCCCAAGGTCTTCATAGAAACAACCGCTCTATGTACATCTCAATCTCACCCATCAGACCCTACATTCGAGTGGGATTTACTGGGTCTATTTGGTTTTAGAATGTAGCATTTCATTATACGATTGCAACGCCAACTTATGCATAAGCTGGGGGGTTTTCTTGGAAATGACTGCCCTACACTTCAGAATGTAGCGTATCATGTTACAATTTGATGGTGGCTAATTTGATTGTTTGATTGTTGTAGCAGGCACCATTCTGTCAGCAGCCCCTCAGTTTTGATTACTCACAAAACCATTAGGGTCGTTGGGGTCAGGTCGGGTCTACAAATTGAACTGGGGATGTACGCCGATTTTGTTACCTGTTACTGTTAGGAATTGATTGATCTTGTTATTCATTGGAAACCTGTAATACTTTCTGTGTCTTTGGTTGATTCAACTTTCAAATACTAGCACCAACAAGTATTCAATCATTGTTCCTATCTTTCTGCATTTGGGTCATTTCAGAAATAAGCAAACACAAACAAATAAAGAAGCATTTTTTATACAAAGAAACCCCATCATAGTAAGATCAAGACTTATTATAAGACCTATCAACTACCTTGAAATTGCCATTTGATGTTCAAATGACAAGTGAAGTACATTCTTTCAATCTCTACTTTTGGAAACATATTTTTAAATGATCTATTTTACGGTCTATGACAAATTTTGATTCGATTGCCCGAACAACTTATCTATACTATATTATAAAGCATTTGACAAAAAATCCTAAAAACTATTTTTTATGCATGAAATACTGTATATTGATGTATATTACTTAAAATTCAAGATTACAAGTAATTATGCATAAATTAACTGTGGATAAACATAATCAAATAGAGGATAAACATCTTATTTTAAAATATAAAAAATCTATTATATAATTAGAATAATTATAGAGTTCTAACAAAATAAATAGTTATTATCTTTATAAGAAAATTATATTATTAAACCAAATATAAATTACTTCGTTATAGTACCTAAATTAAATTAATAAACAAATTGAATTAAAAAATTACACAAAAAAATAGGAATTTTAAATAGTTAATTTTGATACTAATATCGATATATTTTTGTCAAATTTTTATGATATCTTCAAACTAATATTTTATTCAAAAATAAAAACATATCGCTTTCTCAAAATCACATAAGATCATATTATAACATCGACTGAGATAAAGAATAAAATGAGACATTGAAATCGAGATGTGTCTCGATGCATTGCACGAGTACCCTTCTAGTCTTCTCTAATAAAACCAGTGAAATCTTAAAATCGTTAAAATTCACGACTCCTGCCGCATTGTGTGGGTACACAACTAGTAATATTAAATTTTTAACAAAAGTAATGTTGGCATGACTTTATTATTACTAGAAGGGTAATCGTGCAATGCAGTGAGATACATCTCGATTTTAATGTTCTATTTTATGCTGTCTCCGTCGATATTAGAATACGATTTTATGTGTTTTTTAAGAAAACAATAATGATTTTATTTTTGAATAAAATATAAATTTGAAGGTATCATAAAAAATTGAAAAAAATAATATCAATGTTAATATCAAATCAATTATTTAAAAGTTCTCATTTTTTATGCAATTTCACTAAATTTTTTTATTATAATTTAATTTAAGTTTGATAATAAAATAATTTATTTTTGGTTTAATATTATAAATTTTATAAAGATAATAATTAAGTATTATGTTAGAATTCAATGATTATCTTAATTATATTTTAGATTTTTTATATTTAAAATGAGATGTTTATCTTGTATTTGATTATGTTTATCTGCAGTTAATTTCACGAATTCAGATATGAAGCTTTAATAAGTTGTACTTACGCACAATCTACATGCAATCTTAAGTTTTAAGTAATATGCAATAATAAACAGTATTTTACGAATAAAAAGTGGTTTTTAAGAGTTTTGTCAAATATTTTATAATATAGTATAAATTATTATTGTTTATTATTATCGCAATCTTTTATATTATTTGTGTTTGAAATGGTCGAATTTATTAGAAATGTTTGGATTTTAACTCGTTGAGTGGTTGTATACGATATAAAAGAAGATGATGAAAGAAATAAAGATATACTTTCAAATAATAATATTAAAGAAAATAATATAATTATCATATTATAGATAAGTTAAATAAATTCAAGTTTTATTAGTTTACAAAGTTTGTCATAGACTCGTAAATAAATCATTTGAAAGTATGTTTTTCAAAATAAAAATTAAAACTAAGTCGTTACTTTTTTATGCAATTTATCTTCTTCAATTTATACAATGATTTCAAATAGACAAATTTTTATGTGATACATTAACATAAATTTTTTTTTTTTTTATCAAATTGAACAATAAAAGTTATTTCAGTTTAAGGTGACGGTTGTTTTTTAAAAGGTACTGAAGTCTGAAGTCTGATTTCACTTTTGATTTATAAGAGGTGGTGTTGAAGTCTGAAGTCTGATTTCACTTTTGATTTATAAGAGGTGGTGCTGAAGTCTGAAATCTGAATCAGTCAGACTGTTTGTTTTTACGTCTGAAGTCTGAAATCCGAATCAATCAAATAATGAAAGAAACCTTAGTACTTGCAGATTTTGATGCTAGGTTCAATGATAAATCAAGGATGACCCAAAAAAAGAATACACACAAGAACTTAAGTCTCATGAAACTTTAAACGTATAGAGCAATACCTAATCAAGAGAGTCAAAGATCGAGATTTGATGGATTGAGAGAGTTTGAGATCGATCGAGAAACATAACCTGAGATCGATTGGAGTAATTATTATATCATAATCAGGTTGGTTTTGCTCATGGCATAAAATGAACTTTTAATAAAAATCTTTAAACCACATAATTCAACTGTTTTAGATAAACCCCAATTCAAGAAGGCTTTGATTAGAACAGCCAAAAAGCAATGGAAGACCAAAATAGATAAGACAATGTAGTGTTGTATGCTCTGGATTGAATATATATATATATATATATATATTGCAATGGTTGTAAGCTAAATTGCTAGATCCTACAGTTGGATTGTTGTTGTGTTCCTAATCGTAAGGTGCAGTATCCCTATTGGTAATAAGATCATAATGGATGGTAAATTCCAAGGGAGCGTGTATATGGTAAATTCATGGTTCATCGTCCATTTATAAGGAAAACAACAAACAAAACTGCACAATATGGTTTTGTTTTTGGTGATTTGATACACCACTTAACATAAACGTAATAGAACCATCAAGACCAACAAATTGATGAAATACCTTGAAAAACTAATAAGATGATGTTAGTCAAGAGGGAAGAAGAGACGCGGGTTCTCAGAGAGATCGAGAGGCAAGACCCATTACCTTTCTGGAGAGATCGAGAGTAGAAGAGATCCAGAGATGCTTGGATCGAGAGATACTTGGATCAAGAGGCAGATCGAGAGCTTGAGATTGAAGTGCTTAAGATCAAGATATGGACGTTGAAATCGAGAGCTGAGAGCGAGATGGAGGCGGCTTCTGAAATTGACTTGAGAGATAGGTTCCTCACTTAAAATTAAAAGGACGGTAAGGGGTATTTCAACTCTTAATTAAAAAAAAAAAAAAAAAACCAGTCTAAAATGGTTTATGTTTGACCGAATAAGACTTTAGAGGCAATTAAGAGTTTGTTTGCTGTTTTTATAGTTATAAATTAGTCGTTAAATAAATATATGAATATTTCTATCTATTAATAAATAAAATCAATAAAGTATTAACACATAAATTTTATTAAATGATAAAAATATTATACTGAAATACACAGTAAACATTAGATTAATCATCATTTCTTTCTTTCCAAACCGTTGCCAAACCTCTTCAACCAAATCTGATTATAGCTGATTATTCCCTGACCGATTACGTATTTTAATATGGTTTTGAAGATAAAGTTGATTATAAAGAACATTAAACATTGAGTAAATCAGTAACATTTCTTTATAAGAATACATCATACATCATCGAAAAGCTTGATTTAATATGTAAGAGATTATCAAATACAATTTCTAATTATACCCTTTAATTTCTTATACAAATTACAGACACATCAACAAATCATATTCTATCTTATATTAATTATGGATAGATCAGGAAATAAATTGATACCAGTTATAATCGGTTGGTAATAATGTGTCAAATTACGGACGCATCAACAAATTAGCAACTCATTAGATTTACCGTAGTGGTCATATGCAATTAATTAGATTTATCCAAACCATAATTTCTTAATTCGATTTGTGCTACATCTGTAACGCCTCGAAATCTGAAAATAGCATTAAGTTTAAACCTCGGTGAAAATACCGGGATATCGTAAAATATAAGAATTTCACCAACAAACGTAACAAGTTTAAGATAATGGAATTCAAAAATAGAATATGAGAGTACTATGACTTCTACCTAACCCTGAATAGAATGCCGCCAACTCCCAAAAGATCTAAATTGACCCATACTGCTAACTAGCACCGAAGCTAACTCATTGACCTCCAGGACAACCGTTAATAAAATATGTTATACATATCAATAAGTGTTAAACTTAATGCCTAGCGATCACAAACAATTAAACATAAATTTTGCAGAAAGATATCTGTGAGAGAAAATATTCCAATATGACGAGTTCCCAAATTCAGTGTTGCCGCATGACTTCCTTCTTCCATGAGATACCATTTATATAAAATATTAGATAACATCTTTCGATTTGACGGAGGAGATCTGTTTCCATTGTGCATTATGGAACACAAAAGCAAGCCACTCAACACTGTTATCGAGTTATTAGGGTTAGCTTCCTCTGTATTTCACCCCAAACGGGTTGTAATGCCAGGCTCACAGTATTCCCTTCTATAAGATTGGTCTCTAGGGGAAACACACCAAATAAGTCGTGGTCCTCGTGTCCAACCATGTCGGATTATAACGCAAGACTCCCAAAAGCTTGATATCATCTTCCTAGGGTCAAGGTGAATACACCAAACCCCCTCATTTGACTACAAAACGGGCTCTCATGCCTATGGATCCAATACACTCTCGCCCTATATTCACAAGATCTCAATGTTAGAAGACCCATGTACCACGACTGAATAATTCCCAAATAACGTAAACATAATTAAAAAAAACCAATGTTATAACTCAAACATCATCTCAACCAAGTGGGCAAGTTCCAAAGTCATTTAGCCTTTGGCCATTGTTAAAACCATGGTCAATACGACCAACTTCCAATAGTAGCAAACATATCAAAATCAATTTGACCCGGATAATAGTAAATAAACTTGTAATAGTAGAAGGGACACCTTGACTTGCGGCACAAGCTGCTGGGGAGGTCACCTGAGCTTCTGTTTCTCCTACGCCGGAGCTGGACATTCCCCCTTCATCGACCAGTGGCCCGCGACTTATGGAATGGTTTAGGCCGCCGGTAAGTCATCCGAACCTCCAGATTTCCCAAATTCACCAGATTT